TACCCCAAGAGGCACCCTGGTGAACAGAGCATCTCTGATCACTTGCCGCGTCCCCCTACTGAATTTGTAGGTGGCCACAAGATCACCTCTTAGCCTTCTCTTGTGGAGGATGAAGAGGTCCAGGGGCCTCGGTCTCTCCTCATAAGGCTTGTCCTGTAAGCCCCTAACCATATGAGTGGCCCTCCTCTGGACCCTCTTGAGTCTATCAACATTCTTCTTGACGTACGGCGCCCAAAACTGGACACAGTACTCCAATGGTGGTCTGACCAATGCCGCAAAGAGGGGAAGTATCACCTCCTTGGATCTATTTGTCATGCATCTGCTAATGCATGATAAAGTGTGGTTAGCTTTGCTGATGATTTTGTCACACACACAACTCATGTTCATCTTGGAGTCCACTATGACTCCGAGATCTCTTGCGCTTCTGTGCTGCTGAGAGGGTCGCTTCCCAGCCAGTAGGATATTTTTGTGCCCTAGGTGCAGGACTCTGCACTTGTCCTTGTTGTACTGCATCCTATTGTATACTGCCCACTTTTCTAACCTGTCCAGGTCTGCCTACAATCATTCTCTGCCCTCCGGAGTGTGCACTTCACCCCGCAATTTAGTATCATCCGCAAACTTGGACAGCGTGCACTTCACACCCACATCCAAGTCACTGATGAAGATATTGAAGAGTACAGGTCTAAGGAGCAAAACCTGCGGGACCCTAGTACCCACATCATTCCAGGTCAATACCGACCCATCTACTACCACTCTCTGGGTGCAACTGATAAGCCAATTTGCCACCCACTGGAACGTGTAAACATCTTTATCACAGCCTCTTACTTTATTTTTGAGAATGGGATGAGATGCCATATTGAAGGCCTTGCTAAAATCCAAGAAAACGACATCCACCTCTACTCCTATGTCTAAGCATGTTGTGACCTTGTCATAAAACAAAACCAGATTGGTCAGGCATGATCTACCTGTTACAAATCCATTCTGGTTTCTCTGCTACATTATTTTTCCTGCTAGACTCCCACAAATATGATCCTTTATAATGTTTTCAAAGACCTTCCCAAGGATGGAGGTGAAACTGACTGGCCTATAATTACTTGGATCCTCCTTCCTCCCCTTCTTGAAAATAGGGACCACATTGGCCCTTTACCAGTCCTCCGGGGCCTGACCCGAGCATCATGAGCGCTTAAACATCCATTCCAGTAGTTCTGCTATGACACCGGCCAATTCCTTCAGCACCCTCAGTTATGCAGTTCATCTGGGCCTGCTGACTTGAACACATCCAGTCCATGCAAATGACTCTGCACCAAGTCAGCGTCGACAGTTGGTAGGCTGGATGCTCATCTAAAAACCCATTAGGAGACTTATCTTGAACTCTGTTCAGGAACACCGAGGCAAAAAACTCATTGAATAGCTCAGCCTTGTCCCCCACTTTGTGTCACTAATTGCTCCTCCTTGTTCAACAGGGGTTCTATGCTTCCCTGCACCTTCATTTTAATCCTTACATACCTAAAAAAATACTTTTTGTTGTCTTTAATTTGTGTTGCCAGCCTCAGCTCTGTAGTTGCTTTGGCTTTTCTAACTGCCTCCCTGCAAGTTCAGGCCAAGTAGGTATACTCCTCCTTGGTAGCTTCCCCCTGCTTCCACTGCTTATATGGCTGCTTTTTTGCCCTTATACTCCCATGGATTTCCCTGTTAGGTCAAGGAAGTTTTTTGGCTCCTTTCTCCCTTTTCCCTCGTACTGGGATAGTCTCCCTATGTGCCAAAAGGATCACTTCCTTTAGGAATGACCACCCTTCCTGGACTCCCATCTTGCCAATACTCTTCTACTGTGGTGTGTTATTGACTAGGCTCTGAAGTGCACTGAAGTTAGCCTTCCTAAAGTCCAGCACTTCCATCCTACTAGTTATCTTACCCACCCTGCGCCATATGGTGAATTCAGTTGATTGGTGGTCATTGTCCCCAAAGCGACTACAAATCTGCAGCTCCTCTAACGCTCCCCATAATGACATCATAATGTTTACAACATCGTTCCTTATTATATCAACCTTATTGTGTGCTTGATCAACTATTAACTTGCAGGAACAATTTAGGCTCACCTTAGAAAGTTCATGGTGTCCAGAAAGGAACCATTATGATAATCTAGTCCAGGAGTCGGCAACATTTTTGGGCAGAGTGACAAAAACACCTGCAAACTTGACTTGTAAGATGTTGGTATGCCAAGGGCAGATGGTGGGGGAGCTACGAGCGGCCCAATCCCTGTTGTGGCAGTACAGCCCTGGCCCCTTCCTGCCATCTGCCCCGAGGTGTGCATGTGAAGCAAAATATCTGTGTGTGCCATGCTCTGGCACCTGTGGTGGGGGTTACTTACCCCTGATCTAGTCTGACCTATTGTATAACACAGGTCATAAGTTTTCCCTAAATTAATTCCCCAACTAGAGAATATCTTTTGGATGAACATCCAGTCTTGATTTAAATGTTTCCAGTGCTTAAGAATCGAGCTACTGAAACCACTGAACATTTTTCAGTGTAAACTGGATCCTGAGTTGGTTTAGTTAGTAACCTTTTCCCCTCTTTAATCATACAAACAGTTTGTTTAATTAGTGCTCATATTAAAAAGGATAGATGTCTTCACTGCTACATTTATATTTTTCTTTGACTAGTTTGATATGCTGTATGTGTTAAGAAATCCAGTTAATCCAGGATATGCCTTATTAATTAATGAAAACTGAAATCTTTCTAGAAAAGTTATACAGTACTTGATAGAATTATAATTGGTTCCTTTTCACTGAATAACATATTTGGTTGATTACAATACATTACTATTAAGCAAATACATATTCTTGTTATAGGTCTTTTCTAAAATGGCATAATATTATAATTTCCCTTGTATTCATATATAGTACACTTTAACAGTAGTTTATGTTTTTACATTTGAAAAAGCAAGAGATACGTTTTTGAATCTAGTCGTTAATCAAGTGAGTTTTCATCAGCACTTGGTATCATTTTTGATCTAAAAGAGTGGCCTTTTTCAAATGTTTTTCTTCTTATTTTAGGATTTTCTGATGGAAACATTCATCATGTTCAAGAATCTCATTGGGAAGAACGTCTATCCTTTCGACTGGGTTATAATGAACATGATGCAGAATAAGTAAGTACAGAGAAAAAGCGCTGAACCTTACTGAGATGACTATTTCATGTTTGATCTGAAACAACAGTGTTGCTTAGAAACACACAATGCAACAGCCAGATTTTTTTCTTCTGTGATGCAAATAATTATTTGAAAAATTGGCTCTAGAGATTGCAGTAGACCTGTTATTGAAAAAGAGGCAATAAAACATTGCTCATGGAGTCCAGCACAAATTAAGGGAGGGTACAATTTTTTTTAAAAGCATACACAAGGCCAACAGTTTTGGAATAGATAGGTAGGTGGAAGAAATTAAATGATTGAATTATCACTATTATCTATCATTTGATAATAATGATGATAATTCAGAATTTTCACTACTGTTCCTATTGAGGTAGATAGGTTTAGACGCTATGCATCTCAGAAATCAATGTCTGTTGTGTGCTTGTTTGAGATTGTGCCATAACTGGATTTCTGATGATGTTAACAGAATGTAAATAA